ATAGCAGAAGAGGTGTGGGAGCTCTCTGAGGCCTCTTTTCCAATGGAAGGGCACCAATTGCCCTCATGAGGGCCACTCACTTTGCAGAGGTTCCACTTCCAAATACCATCACATTGGGGTTTGGAGATCAACATAAGAATTTAGGGGGAAAATAAACATTCAATTCATAGCTGGAATAAGTTTCAGTCTCAGCTAGCAGTTACTAGCAGCTCAGAAATGCCTGAAATATCCACCTTCCTTCAGGCCTGACAGGAGGCCCTGCAGGATGGGGTGAAACCACATTTCTTGAATGTGTTCCTAGTCCCTTGTGGTTAGTATTGCCAAACAGGCCAGCCAAGAAACTGAGAGTCAGGGGCTTCAAGGCATGAAACCCCTGACTCAGTAAGGGCTAAAGACCCTTCCAGATTGCTTTCTGATAGGACAGCAATATTTAGAGTTTCCTCACAGTGAGGTTACAATTAGGCCGAAGATGATTGGCTTATGGATATTGCCTTGCTTATGTATGATTGACAGGCACGCCCCACTCAAACCCTATAACTGTTGGGTGCATTCCAAAAATAAACTGAGCTACTGGATGAGGACCTGAGGCGGGTCTCCAGCCAGTTCTCTCACCAGCTCCCGGAGTCTTTGTGTGTTGATTCCGCGTCTCTACCCCCCGCAACAAGGTAGCTGAGTGACCATCGATCATGAAGAGACTAGGAACAACATTCAAGAGTATATTTTCTTTTCAGCCTTAATATTATCAATATTTCTCTGTTAGAAAGCCTTGCACAATTAGGCAAGGGAATTTATTTTCCTTCCTTGCTATTTATCTGTACCTCTGCTGCACTCTCTGAAAGTCTGACTTTTGTTGGGTTGGATTGTTGACATTTCTATTCTCCCATCAATGAGCAATCTGTGTCCTTGTGGTAGTATGCAGACTCTTTACACACCACCAGGTTAAAGTATAGGAGGTAATTTGCAGTTCTTTGCTTCACACACAATTAGGCTTGTTCAATTCCTATGGGATCCACTACAGAGCGATGAAAGGGACTCCTAACATCCATACTCTGGGACTAGGATAGAGGGTTACTATGTTTTCTTTGTCCCTTCTCTGTTCACTTCTCTCTGATAGTTTAAACAATCACTTACTCAACAGCACCGTGTAACTTTTATTTCTTTCTTTCTCTTTTTGTCTTTCCTATTTTTCTTCCTATTCCTCATTTCACTTGTTACTGGCTTTATGTATCATAAGTTACAAAAGTCCAAGGATGGACTTTTACCCTTCATAGAGACTGCATTCTATTCACAGCAACAGTTTTGTTTTGCTTTGTTTTCTATAGTTGTCTAGCCTTGTAGGCTTTTCCCTGGAAAGTTTGCTGTTTTAATCAGTTTTCTTTACTGCTGTGACCAGAAGACCTGATAAGAAGAATTACAGAAGGAAAAGTTTAATTGGGGGATCATAGTTTCAGAGCTCTGAGTCCATAGGTGGTCACCTCCTTCATCTGGGCCTGGAGGTAAGGCAGAACATCATGGTGGAAAAGTGTTTGTGGAGGAACATGGCTCAGGACATGTCACCAGAAAGCACAGAGAGGGAGAGAGATCCACTCATCAGGGGAAAAATAAATAACTTAAAGGCATATCGCCAATATCACCCCCTCTAGCCACACCCTATTTACCTACAGTTACAATCCAGTTAATCCCTGTCAGGGAATTAATGCACTGATTAGGTTAAGACTCTCATAATCCATTTCATCTCTGAACACTCTTGCACTGTTTCACATGTGACCTTTTGGAGGATACCTCATATATAAATTATAATATTTGCCCAGAAACTACTTCTTACACATTAAAAACTATTTGGGCCTGATCTAGTGATGCAGGGCTATAATACCAGACGCTCCACAGACTGAGGCAAGAGGGTCACAGGTTCAAAGCCAACCTCAGCAAAGGCAAGGCACAAAGTAACTCAGTGGCACCCTATATCTGAACAAAATACAAAATAGGGCTGTGGATATAGCTTAGTGGTGGAGTGTCCCTGAATATATCCAGTAACCCCCTCAAAAAAAAAAAAAACCTATTTGGATTTAAGTCAGTATTTTAGGCCAGAATTACTTTAAAAACCTGAGGATTTTACAATCTGATTTTTTGGTATCCATTAGTTCACAATTTGTTGTATTGTTTTCTCTTTCCTGTGCATTTATAACCCTTATATGTCTAGGAATATGATTTTTTTCCTATAAGATGAATGATTTGCATGATATAATTTTATAATATCTTAGCCATGTCAGGAGTTTGTTACACATTTTGAGCCTACCTGGCTAAATAACTACAGATTTTTTTTTCCATGATACCAATGAAAATGTCTCATAAGCCAATTTTTATTTATAAGTGTCTACCTAATAGTATGCTCTAACAAATTGGATGGATGAATATTGAGTATGAGTCTAGTGCTGTGGCATCACAAAGTCTTTAATATGCTATAATTATAATAATTATACTTATTAGTGGGATAGATAGTGCTATATGTGATCAGCTCTGTTAACTTAATGGCGGAAATTAACCAAGCCAGAAAGTTTAGTGATATGCTTAGAAAACTCATTGTGCATCCAAGCCTGAATAAAACTCTCAATGAATGAACTAACCCTGAGGCAAGAGCACAGCTGCCTTTTAAAATAATTTTAATTTTGAGATATTGTAGATTCACATGCAGTTATGAGAAAAATCTTTTAAAAATTCTTTGTACCCATTACACACTTTCCCAACTGGTAACATCCTGGGAAAAAATAAAACATTATAACCAGGTTATTAAAATGATAGATTTGCCCATCTTCTTTAGACTTCACTAGTTTTACTTGTGCAGATTTGTGTGTATGAGTGTGCTTAGTTCTATGCAGTTCTATACACATGGGTATATTCAAAATTATGAGCAGCTTCAACATCACAAGGGTTCCTCTTGCTGCCATTTAATTACCAAATTATCACCCGATCCCCATTTCCAAACCTCTATAAACTACAAGTCTGATATCTATTTTTAAATTTTTGTCATTTTAGGAATTTCATATGAATGAAATTATACAAAATACAACCTTATGATAGTGACTCTACTTTTACCTAGTATGATAACCTGAAGATTCATCCAAGTTGTTTCATGTGTCAATAATCTGTTCATTTTCATTTTTATTGTTAAATATCATTTCATACTATGAATGTAGCATATTTTGCTTTATGAATCTAATGAGGGACATCAGGGTCCCACTACTCTGGGATTATTACAAATAATTTTCATGTATAATTGTAAACAGGTTTTTATATGTATGTAAGCTTTAAATTCTTTGATATAAATATACAAATAAGATTTTCTGGGTTGAATTATGATTTTTGTTTTATGAAAAACTTTAAATTTCATATTTACACCAGCAGTGTTTATGAAACCCAGTTGTCAGCATTCTTGTTAGGTTTAATATCATGATTGTGTTAGTTTCAAATTTGAGATCATTCCAGGTGCAGTAGCACAAACCTATAATCCCAGAAGTTTAGGAAGCTAAGGCAGGAGTTTTGATAGTTCAAAGTCAGGCTCAGCAATTTAGCAGGGTCCTATGCAACTCAGAGAGACCCTGTCTCTAAAAAAAATAAATAAAATGGGCTGGGAATGTGATTCAGTGGGTAAGTGCCCCATGTTCAAATTCTGGTACCAACATAATAATAGTAATAATAATAATAATAATAATAAAATTTGAGATAACATAATCTTCCCTTTCTGAATATGGATAATTAAAAATATTTCTTCATACTGTCTCATTGTAAAAATTGTCATATACAATCCAGGATCATAGTATGTTATTAGAAGTCAATGTCCATGTATGATCTACAAATAAGGACTGACAGATTCATTTGACAATTAAATTTGCTCTGATCCCCTGAAAGATGAAGAACAAGCGTTCCTTAAAGTAGTTCTGAATTTCAACTGAGAAGTATGACTGTTGTAGCTGGACAGATACTGTAACCTAAATCATTAAAGTAATTATAAAATTCAAAACTGAATATTGTCAATGCTTTCATAATCCAGTACAAGAATGAATAAAAAAGAAAAATGTTTTATACACATGTTATAAACATATTTTGATACCTAATTCAAATTAGTAGGTATCTTTTATAGTTATACAGAATAAAATATTCAGCCTGCATTATTAGATGATTCAACAGATGTACTTCATGGGTAAACATGAGCTCTTACCATCAATTCCACAGTGAAGTTGTATAACGCTTAATAGGTAGTTGTCATGTTATTCTTAGATCAGTTTTCATTTAGGAATAACTGGAATATAATATAGTGGTATTTTATTATTCAAATTGTGTCAGAAAACATAAGCACAATGAAGCCAGTATGGTAGATCCATAATAGCAGTGCCTAAAATATGGTATTTTAAATTGTGTAAATAACTTTAAATTACATTTTAATGCACAGGGTCATAGGCATATTATGATATAATTTTTAGAGAGATAATTATGTCATCATTACGTAGAATCCATAATGATTCAAAGTCTGGGTAAGATATAAAAAGGGTGCGAATGATTGGAAATAACTTGAATGGATTAATTAATGCCATTTCCCAATTTAAACACAAACTATTCCATTTGCAGTTTCTTGAACTTTTCTGATCATGCAATGTCTGCCTTAGGCATATCCTTGTTTAAACCACACAATTAATACCCATGTGATTTGTGAGGATAAATGTACATACCTCTCCTGGTTATGTGAGGGTTAAACAAATTCCTACACATTTAAGGATCATATAAAAATACCTTAGATCCAAATGTTCTATTTTGGACATTTTAGTACATTTTATAGCAGAGGAATAAAGCAAATAATATATTTGATACACAAATTTAAGAATTAAATTTAGTATGATCTTCCTTTAAGCTTTCCATAGATATTTAAGCATATCCATATTCTGTGTTCAAATTAATCATGTACTAAATGTCATCGCACACTAAAATTTGTTTTCCTGAATGCACAGGTACCTCTGTTCTACAGGTGACAGCTACTGATGCAGATGACCCTACCTATGGAAACAGTGCTCGAGTGGTTTACAGTATTCTCCAGGGACAACCCTACTTCTCTGTAGATCCCAAAACAGGTCAGTGTGTTTAAAAATAATCTTTGGCCAAGTTCTGTTATAATAGAACAAATCAAAGTTTTTAAAATTTATAATTTCTCTTCCTAATCACATATTGTATTTTAACACATTTGAAAATATACTCAATTTTCTAAAACAATGTAATTGAATAAAGATAATAGCTTTCTTTATAATTTTAGTAACCCACACATGTACATTAAGAAACAACTTATCTTTGAATATTCCTATAATATATAAGTAAACATGGTTTAAAACAAATACAGAATATCATATATATGTTGAATGAGATATTTAAACTATTTTTAACAATTGGTTTTAATTATTTGCAAAAGAAAATAATTGCTTCATTAAGATTTTTTCATAGTTTTATTTAAATTTAGTTGTCACATAAATTATCAGATACACATAAGTATATATTGGCATATATATTCACATGCATATATATGTATAATTATACTGAAGTAACTTGTATGTCATGCATATATATGTATAATTATATAAACATGCATATATATGTATAATTATACTGAAGTAACTTGTATGCCATGAATTGGCACTTTTCATAATAAGCAAATTCTTAATTCCTCAGATATTATATATCTAAAAGAAATTAATTGAGAATTACTCCAAAGAACTATACTTTTTTTTTTCAAGTAAAAAATATAGATCTTGTTCTCTTTCTTTCATGTACTCCTAGGAAACTAATCATTCATATCTTATCATTTAAAATTGGGAATGAGGCCAGGTGCAGTGGAACACACCTGTAATCCCAGAAGTTCAGGAGTCTGAGACAAGGAGGATCAGGAGTTCAAAACCAGCTTCAGCAAAGGCAAGGCACTAAGCAACTCAATGAGACACTATCTCTAGATAAAATACAAAATAGGCCTAGGGATGTGACTCAGTGATTGAGTACCACTGAACTCTATCCCACATACCAAAAAAAAAAAAAAAAGGAATGAAGAATATTTAATAATGCATTACAGATTTGTGGTGTCAGCATAATCCAAAACCAATTTAAAAAGAGGGTGGCACACATCTGTAATCTCAGCTACCTTGGAGACTGAGGCCAGAGGATCCCATGTTTGAGGTTAACCATGACAAACCTTGTCTCAAATTAAAATTAAATAAAAAGAAGGACTGGGAATGTAGAACAGTGTAGAGCTCTTTTGGGTTCAATCCCCAGTAGTCCTCCCTGCCCCAAATTAAAAAGAAAATAGTCTTCACTGGCAATCATTTTATCCCTAGAATCTTGGAATATGAATATATATATATATATATATATATATATATATATATATATATATAT